CTCTCTCTCTCTCTCTCTCTCTCTCTCTCTCTCTCTCTCTCTCTCTCTCTCTCTCTCTCTCTCTCTCTCTCTCTCTCTCTCTCTCTTGCACGTGCGCGCGCGTACTTTCTGGCGCCTTCTGCAATCAGACTCGCTGTCTTCTTCACTTCGCAAACATGCAAACAGATGGTAATTCACACTGGCGCTGTGCACCCACACAAAGCTCAGACATAATCAAGCTGCGAACACAGTTCAGATACAAACTCGCTTCCAATCAGCTATGGCGCCTGAGCGCCCTCACATCCTCTGTTGGCCCTGTGTTCACCCAACTGTTCACACGCACTCGACTCAGGATCTCCCTGGATATCCCACGCACACAACTCAGTATAAAACACACACACACACACTGATGTCTATCACTACCCTACAGCGGCTATGGCCGCTCTACCACTGCTGGCTATGGACGAACTATCTCCCTTCAGCCCACTTCGACTTTGGGCATCTGCAGACCACCTCGCACAAGTCGCCTGGCAGCGCTTCCACATGGCTTACGCAGGAATGAATGAATGGCTGGACGCTGCCTCTTGATTTATACTTCAGTAGGTCGCTGGTCTACCCTTTTCCACCGGGCCCATGGTGCACACAGTCCCTCATGGTACTTGCTGACTGTACAAAGTGAGACTGGGACTGGGTACTGCTGACTAAGCGAAGTTGGACTCACCACTTGCCCACTTGCCTCTGGTCTGCTGCGTATAACGTGAGAAGAAACTTGAAAGGCCACTTCCGGACCTTCCGGAAGTTTGCGGACTTGGCCTTTCAGGACTGTAGCAGCTGCGACCTTGACCTTTCAGGACTGCAGCAGCTACGACCCTGACCTTTCAGAACTACAACAACTATGACCCCTATGCAGGTATGACGCCTACTTCGACAGGTCTAAGGTTCAAGACCCGACAACTTCTCAGACCTACGACAGACAACTTTCAACTACTAGCACACAGGTCACGGGTTCAAGACACACAGGGTCGACTTGATACTGTACACAGGTAAGGTAAGGTCTGGGGATCGACCCCTGGGATCCGCATCTGTGACTGCAAAAGGTGAAAACCGTTTCACCTTCGGGCGCACACAAGCTAAGAAACCTTCCACTGATTACGAGGGGAATGAGATGCAAACCATGAGAGTATGCTGGGCGGTGGATGGGACTGCAATCAGACTCGTTTTCATTCACACTTTACATGCATGCAAACAGTAGCGCAGCAAACTGGCGACATGCGCCCTTCAGTACTCAGAGATATGGCAACCCAGATACGAGTTCACTTCCAATAGTTATGGCGACACAGCGCCCATACAACTCTCTTTTCGCATACCCCGGATCACCCTGGATATCCCACGCACAACACTCTGTTCACCCTTACACACTCACACACTGCACACTAACTACAGCTATGGCGGTTATGGCCGCCGCTACCCTATCGCTATGGCTAAGCTTCGTCTCTCTGCCCACTTCGCCTTCGGGCTTCACTGCAGACCACCTCGCACAAGTCGCTGTGGCAGCGCTTCCGCATGGATCACGCAGGAATGAATGAATGGCTCGGCGCTGCCTCTTGATTTATACTTCTGCAGTGCGTTGGTCTGGCCCTTTCCCATGCCCGAAGTGCACACAGCCCCATGCGGTACTTGCTGGACTGAACCAGGACTGCCTAGGACTGGGACTGCTGACTCAGCACGGGTAGACTTCACCACTTGCCTTACCACTTGCCCACTTGCCTCAGCCTAGACGTGGGAAACTTCGAAAGGCCACTGTTTGGACCTTCCGGAAGGCCGTAGACTTGGCCTTTCGACACTGTAGCAGCTGCGACCTTGACCTCTCTAGACTGCAGCGGCTACGACCTTGACTCTTCGGGAAGACTACAGCTACGACTTCTAGACCTGACTAAGACTCCTACACGACAGGTCTACAGATCGAACTCCTGCGACCTCTGGACCCTCCGACAGTCTACTATTGTTACCAATACACAGGTCGTGGGTTCAACTCTAGGGGTCGACACCGGTACTGTACACAGGTAAGCTGGGGACTAGGGATCGAGCCCTGGGATCTGCAGCAGCTACTGCGAACTGTTGAATACCGTTTCATGACAACCTTTCTTACTCATTCCGGCAGTCAACA